TTACGTAAGTGCCAGCTGTCATTCAACAACTAATTCTAAGGAGCTAAGTCATAATGCCAAAACACAAGTAGACTGGCATGTGGCATCATTACAGTGAAGACAATGTAGGAAGAAAATAGTTGGCAAATGTAAATATTGCGGGTAGGAATATTTTAACAATGCAACAAAAATGAAGAAGCACTTATAAATATATAGGAACTGTCCTGGAAAAAAAAGAACAAGACAGATACTGGAAGCTACTACAAAGTAGTCAGGGAACATCAGCAGGGGGAAATCTACTTCAGGAATGGACTGAATAAGATTTTTCTCAATTTGAAATGGAACCAAAAAGTACAGTGGTGCCTCGCATAGGAAACATCGCAATGCGATCACTTTTGCGATCGCACAAAGTTAATCGCTATGCGGTTTCGTCGCTAAACGGAGCGCCCGTTAAACAAGGCACCACTGTAGTACAAAGTGACCTGAGTGAAGCTGAAGGTTCTACAGTTATACCACAACAAAATAAAAGGTTGATATAAATACGGCAGATGCAGCGCTCTTTAGGTATATGTCCTAAAAAAGTTAATGTTTTTAGGTGTAGTTATTTATTTCTTAAGTATAAGAGAAGTATATATTATAGTCTTTATGTTATAATAATAAAATAATTTCAACATAAACTTTGAATGTATTTGAACATAACATTTAAGCATGTTAAATCATAATATTATTTAAAACACTGGAATATTTTTCCACATCACTGGTTAAACAGTGTCGCAGCACACAAGCAACTATACTTACTTAGAAATCTAAATGTGTTAATAACAATTAAATGTTTGTGAAAATTGCAGTGGCCATTATACTTGTCCTTGAATGAGAAGAATGAGAAATAAAAATGTTACTTGCTAATTTGTTTTTCATTACTCTACCTTGACTTCAAATTATAATACAGAAAAGCTATCATCAGCTTTATTTTTTACCCAAGGCTATATGAAATCATTTGAATGCAAAATACATTAATGAAAGCATGTAAGCAAGTTTCTAAAAAAGACACTCCAGTCCTTGTCATTTTATGGTTAGGTTCTACGTTTAAATGCCAATACAAATCCAGGTCATAGATCTGTACAGTTGACCCTTGACTTACAGATGGCTCAACTTACAGATTTTTCAAGTTACAGACTTCTCTGGCTGCAGAATTTAGGTTCAACTTGCAGCCAGAGACTCGACCTACAGACCAGAAAAAAACTAAAATGGAACAAAAATGGAACAAAAACGGCTGATTATGGGATTAATTGGTTTCCAATGCATTGTAGGTCAAAGGAGACTCGACCTACAGACTTTGACCTGCAGCCACCATTCCAATACGGATTAATTTCGTAAGTAGAGGGTCCACTGTATAGCTTTTGAGGATCAATTTTAATTTTATTTTATCCTTTGGTCTCCTAAATTAAAGGTAACTACAATGAAAGTTTTTATTTCATAATCAACCAGCACAAAACAAGAACAGATACAGCTGCTGGTCATCGAAGCTATGATGTTAGACGTTACAATAAGGGATCCAGGAGGCTGCATGTAAAGATCATCATGGGAAGAAAATATCCATAAAAGGACTCCAGAATGTAGAATGTTCAAGTTCATAATACAAACTTCCTAAAAAGAAAGGTTTGCTGGATTGCAGGAATGTGCTTAGAGAGGTTTCCTGACTACAATTTTTTAAGAAGGTCTCCTGAATCAACTGTAATACCCCAGAGCATTTTGCATAGAGCAAAATACTACAACAGACTAAAGGATATTCAACCTAGTTGAGTATTCCATTTCCTACAGTGGCTTAGCCCTGCATCTCCTAGTACTAATGAAAGGGAAACATCAAGAGAAAGAAAAACAGGACCATATTATTGTGTCCAAAAGGGAAAGGTCAAAAAAACCTGGTAAATACATGACTGGAAGAACACATATCCCTATTGCATTTATCTGTCAGCACTAACAGGTCTTCTTATATATACAAGCCAATTCCTCATAGCCCCATTCTACTCTACTGCAAGAGGATATATCAAACAACTATAGGGGTGGGGCATATTGCATGGGTCTTTCATAGTCATTCAACTGGTAGATAAATCAAGCACACAATTCAAGCACCCAAAAAGTATACTTCATGCATTTAGCTCCTTCCTATATACAGTGGTGCCTCACATAACGATGTTAATTGGTTCCAAACAAAACATCGTTATGTGAAAACATCGTTATGTGAAGCACCATTTCCCATAGGAATGCATTGGAAACCGGTTAATCCGTTCCAATAGGAATGGATTATCCGGTTTTTTCCCTCCCCCCGTGGCTTGGATCTGACCCACGGCGGCTAACTCAGCCATGGCTTGACTCCCTAGAGTCCGGCCATGGCTGGGGTAGCAGCCGTGGCTCCACTGTATCTCAGTAAGACAAGAATTTTGAAAAAACTGATCAGTATGTTTATTTCCATAATGAAGAGGAGAGGGTGGAATGGGAAGAAGCATAATTACCACTTAATGGACTAAGATCTTTGGAGGCAACTCAGTACATTTGCCAACAATATTAAATAAAGTTATATGAATTGTTCTTTTCTTTTGATGAAGAAACAGTTACCCATGTAAACAATTTACAGAGGGATTAAAGAATGGGGCTTCCTACAATGAAAGATTTTAATCAGGAGACTTTGGCCAAAATGCTGAGAACTTCAATATTCAGGATACAGAGATCTATAACAGTAATCCTACTTCACACTCTCAGCTTTGACACATTGACTTAGAGATGGCATCAAAATTCTGCTGACTATAGTGTTGAGTCGGGAAGACACATCACATCTGCACAAGTCTTTGAACAATCCTTCTTACCCAGGATACAAACTTTTGAGAGACTGCAATAGCAATTTTCTACTACTTCAAGAAAAAAACCATAGAGGCTCTTAGATTCTTCTTTGTGTTCTACTGATTCTCGAAGAGTCCCTTAAATATGAATGATTTGTGTTAAGAAAGAAGAGGTACACAAAAGTTTCATGTTTTCTTCTCTCATTTAATCTTTCTTTTACCACTTCTCTGTCAAATCAACTGAGAACTTTGTCACCCAATAGTGTCACACAGGCTGCTATCAGCAGCTCATAAAATGTCAAGGAGGCTGGAAGTGGGAATTTTGAAGTTGGAACCTAGAAGTGTTATTTCATTGTTTCACTCATTCCTTGTGCGTGGACGAGCTCCATTTTGTGCTGCCTTATTGACAGTCTCTGTGCCTCTATCTTGGTTGGATCCTTTCCTTTTTATCTTGGTTCTTCCTGGGATTTTTTTCTCCTCCATTTCTTTGGTGATTATTTTTGCTTGCTGCCTGGCTGTCCAATAGATTTTTTTTCAGTTATCAGTTAGGCATCCTTCAGTCTCGAAAGACTATGGTAATGTGCTCTGTATGGAGGACTTGGAACAGCATCTAGTGTGGCTGAGGAGGCCAATTCAAGAGTGACAATCCCTTCCACACTGAAGACAAATACAATCTGTCCCCTGTCCAGCTCCCTGATTTTGCTGCTTTTGTGACTTCCTCTTTGCCTCGGCCTGCTGGACAAGGGTCTCTTTGAAATGGGAGAGGCCGTGATGCAACGCCTGCCTCCAGGCTGAACGCTCAGATGTCAGGGTTTCCCATCTGTTCAGGTCCATTCCTAAGGCCTTCAGATCCCGCCTGCAGATGTCCTTGTATCACAGCTGTGGTCTCCCTCTGGGGCAATTTCCCTCCATTAATTCTCCATACAGGAGATTCTTTGGAATCTGACCATCAGCCATTCTCACGAGATGCCCAAGCCAACGTAGACGTTGCTGTTTCAGTAATGTATATACGCTAAACATTCCAGGTCATTCCAGGACTATTTGGGACTTTGTCCCGCCAGTTGTCAGTTGTACTGTTGCCTCCTTTTGTTGCTTAGCCTCTGCATTTGGGGGGAATGTTTATGGGTTCTTTAGGCCTTTTGGATAAATGCCAGATAGAACATAAATGGGGAAAACAAAAATGAAAGAACCTGAAAGCAGCAGCTCCTGAAAGGGCCCAAAATGAAACAAAACTCTGTTGTTCACATCTCTATTTATCAATATGACAACCACAAAGACTCCCAGATCCTAATACTCATTGCCAATCAAGTTCCACCAACAATGCTCATCTTCTAGTACAAAGCTGCAACATATTTATGCTTTTCTGAAAAATGATTTAAACCATTTAAAAGGAGAAGTATATAACTTTGTCAAAAAGGACAGCTACCTTGACAGTCAATGATCAGGGTGACTGAAACAGCAGTCCAACATCTGAAAGACTGAAAATTCTACGTCTCTATTAATTTCTTCAAAAAGCTACATTTCCTACCCTGTTTCCCCGAAAATAAGACCTAACCTGAAAATAAGCCCTAGTATGATTTTTCAGGATATTCATAATATAAACCCTATCCCAAAAATAAGCCCCAGTTAAGTGAAACCCCACTCTCCACCATTGTGCAACATTGTGCAGCAACCAGAAGAAGATAACATGGCTGTATTTGAATAAATGTAGATTGTTGTACATGAAAATAAAATAAAACATCCCCTGAAAATAAGCCCTAGTGCATCTTTTGGAGCAAAAATTAATATAAAACCCTGTCTTATTTTTGGGGAAACATAGTATTAAGCTCTACCTCACATATTAGGGGAATAAACTAAAGTCCAGAACATTAAACACATGGCATACTACACATTCTTAAAAATACTTACTCAGAATTAAACACCAGTCACTCTTTGGTACCTTTTTATTGGACCCCATTCTAAATTATAACTATCATCACTTAACACTGCTTGTTTTGCCACAAACCACATTACAATCTTTTAGAGTACAATTATCATAATCTTGCTAGCTGGGGCTCATGGCTGCTGGAATCCAAACATTTTATGAACACCGGGTTACTTATCTATGAATTAAGATCCAAGATCACAAATTGTTGTAACTTAAACCAACTTTAAAAAGCAGAAGAAAAGAGGATGCATGCTTACTGTATAAGTAATGGCGGCCACCATTCCAATAAGTGTCAAAGAACTTATAGAGAAGGATAGAGCAGCCAAACCATCTGCAAAGCAAATAAAAGAAATATTTTTTACTAAAATCTCCATTTAGGTCTACCAGAGTTTAATTTGTTGGATTGTTCTATATAAATTTTAGAAAAATATCTTACATTAAAACGAAAAAACAACAAACCAAAGCAGAAAGAGTTAAGTTACACATCATTTATCCGTTGAAAAAAAGTGATGCATACAGTACAAATGCTTCACATGGTGTGATGCAGCACATTGGAATACCTGCCTGAAAAGACATAACTGAGGAATACATTACTGTGACCTTAAGGCAGAGATGGCAAATCTGTAAAGCTCTGAATGTTGAACTACAACTTTCATCATGTAGATGGATGGCTGCAAGTTCTTTAACCTTGACTTAGGTGTTTACACCAGTGTTAGTAGTAAAGTCTTAACATAATGTTTCTGATTTGTTGACCAACATTTGATATCCCAATCTGTGTGTCTTTAAAAAAATTTTAAAATCCTGTTATCATATTGAGACTTTCCGATTCCTTATGACACTAGAGTCCTATGTTTCTGAGTACTTTGATGTATATTAGTTGCACTTGCTGATTTTGGTGGACTGTGCCCTAAAAGCTGTGATACAAATATTTTAAATAAATCAAAGGAGACAGAATTACACAAAGTAAAAATGCACAAACATGCTATTGTCCTCTAAGAAATTAGTTACATCTTTTTGTGAGAAGGGAAGCAAGGGAAAGAAGCCCCTCGCTGAAGTGCCATCCCTTCCACCAACTACAGAAAGGCAGGTGCAGACCTTGCCCACTCCATCCCCTGTCAAGAAAGAACAGAGGGGTACCGATACCCGGGATCTAGAAGTAAAAATGTGTGTGTCAACAGTAGCTGTTCAAACGGAGGAATATTTGGTGGGAATGGGTAGGAAAAAGAGGGTGGAGATTGAGGCGGGGACGGCAGAGATAAAAAGGGAGGAGAAGGAATTACCCCCAGGCTGGGAATGGACCTGGACACAAGATCCCTGGACCGAAGAGTGGGAAAGACTCTGGGTACCCAGGGAAGAGGCGGACTATCATTGGAGACCCACGTCCGTCTTACTGGGGCGAAGCCAAGGCTCGTGAGTAGCGGAGGTGACAGAGAGGAGAAGGAAAAGATGGAAAGGGAAAAACAAGAAAGACTGAGATGGGGAGTGGAGGAGGTGAGAAGGAGGGAGGGCCAATGAGACCATGGACCCTATTTCCTGCCGCCCAAGATGTTGAGTGGGACGGATCCGGGGAGGACGAGACCATTCCCCTATTGGAAGGAGAGGACATTAAGAATCTAAAAGATGATTCCATCCATGGTTGGCTGGGACCCTGGAATCCTGAAGAAACAAACCCGTTTTTGGTTGAAGCGAAAGGACCCTTGTCTGACCCGTTGGCGACAAGAGAAATGTTATCGGACAATTTTGTTGATAAAGAATTCTTGTTAAATACTCCAATAAACCTTTCCCCTGTTGCAAAGTTAACTAAGCCTGAGGATGTTTTTGTGGAGACCTAATTTCAAAAAATCGAACCCTCACACTTCTGAATTTGAAGATAACAGGAACATAGCTATCTCTTAATTTTGCTCCTCTTGCCCCTAGTAACCTCCTCAAACCTCTTAGAAGATCTGAAATCACCCCTAGCCCAACACACCCACATCCTCATCATCTTCCCCTGGAGATGAGAAGCATGCATACCCTCTCTACACTTCACATTTGTTCCAGTTTTTTTAATATACTGTCAGTTGAAAATGAAAAGTACGAATTATTGCCAAAGTAACAATTCGACAGCAAGCCTACAGAAATACAGAATTATTCACTTTTTAAATTCATAACATAATCTGTTGGTGAAAAACTCTCTTACGGCTGCTCCCAAGCTCTTCAAACAGAAGTTTTACTTTCTCCCACTCTGTTGAATTCTTCTTATTGGGAATATTCAGTGGAACAAAGGCTCTGTAAAAAAAAAAAAAGAAAATTTAAATCCTCCAGAAGTTACCTCCAAAATTCTTCAAAACATGATCAAGCCTGGAACTGAAGTTAAATAACATGGAAAATTAAAGGACCCTCAACATTAAGTTTCAAAGCACCACATTTTCTGTAAGTATAAGACTGGCTGTTCCAAATATACAGCTTTTTAAAAAGGACTCCACAATACCTTGCAGCAAATCTTCAAAAATAGCAAAAGAATTAATTAAAACTCACAGTAATTTGGTTTTAATACAGTTTTTAGAATCTCCTCAAACACCATAGTGCAAAATATATAAATGTGCTCTCAGTGCTGTTGTACAGTGGCATGGAAAGTGATGCAGTGTATTAATAGAAAAGAGTATAATACTCCTAGAAAGAAGTATAAACAACAGCATGGTTTGAAGGAGTTCAGTCATGTACACGTCTATCCAGAAGCAAGTCATAGTGACTGAAATCATGTTGTACACCTTATGCTGTACATCTTGAACGACCTCATTAGCTGCGACCATATCATTGTCAATTTCGAATAATTAAAAGCTTTATAGTTCATCCCCAAGTTTCCAAGGATCTCTAGGCAACCCCTTTGTCCTGGGTAAGCCTCTGAGAACCAAAATGCCTGGCTTTACCTGCCAACTTCAACAGCAAGGTAACACTACAGCTGTCAAGCAAACATATTCCAAACTGCAGTTAACTTTAAAGCGTAAGATTTATACAAACATTAATGGATCTCTCACTTCAGATTAAACTCCGTGAAAAGTGATATAAAGGATAAAATATGATGATCAAATTTAGACTACCTTACAGCAATAAAACAGTGAAATCAATTACCTCAAGAGGTGGTGAATGCTCCAACACTGGAGGCATTCAAGAGAAACTTAGGCAACCACTTTGATCTGTATTTCTGCATTGATCTGTGGGTTGGACTTGATGGCCTTATAGACCCTGATCTGTATTTCTGCATTGATCAGTGGGTTGGACTTGATGGCCTTATAGACCCCTTCCTACTTCACTATTCTATGATTCTAGAAACTAACAATTCAGTGGTGCCCCGCATGACGATGTTAATTCGTTCCGCGAAAATCGCTGTCAAACGAAAATGTCGTCATGTGATATTAAAAAACCCATAGAAATGCATTAAAACCCAATTCATGCGTTCCTATGGGCTTAAAACTCACCGTCCAGCGCAGATCCTCCATAGTGTGGCCATTTTCATTGCCTGTGCAGCGAGGAATCTGTCCCAGAAAACAGCGGGCGGCCATGTTTTTTACCCGGCGGCCATTTTGAAACTGCCGATCAGCTGTGCGAAAATCATCGCTTTGCGATGATCGGTTACCGAAGCAGGGAACCAATCATTGCAAAGCAAAATTCCCCCATAGGGAACATCGTTTTGCGATCGCTTTTGCGATCGCAAAAACTTCGTCGTGACGCAATTTTGTCATGAAACGGAGCGCCTGTCTTGCGGGGCACCACTATATTGACTATACACAAACTATAGTTTAAGGGAGTAGACATAAGTATTACTGAAGCAAAAATTCAGCTAGCATAATTCATTTAGAGATGAATTATCTAGATAGACAGCAGTATGTGATACCTTGTCAGGTATCACATGATTCATGATTTTTGAATAGGACCTATATGGACAAGGAACAATTTTAAAAGTGGTAATGAGGAAATGTTAGGCTCCACCCTATAAAACTAAAGTCTCAATTCCCGTCCACAGTGAATTCAATCCATGGTGGGAGGGGCTGTCTTCCAGATATGAATGTCCACAGTGAATTCAATCCATCATACAATGGATCATTGATTCCCAAACTGGTGGGAGGGGCTGTCTTCCAGATATGAACAAATTCTAAGGGAGAAATAAGACTGGAATTTTCATGAAGAAATAATATCAGCTTAAATAAATGCAACAGATATGATCAGAGGTCTAACTAACAATTTTAGCACCCAGGATAAACAGCACTATCTCTCACCATGTAGTATGGATGTGAATCCCCATGAAAGTGATGCAGAAGAATGTTGTACCTCTTCAAAATAAGACACTTGATGCTTTCAGGAAATTCCACAGAAATGTCCCCCAATTAGGTTTCTAACTCTGCATATTCCCCCCAATGTCTACTCTCTATGCACCACCTCTTCACTGTTGTACACACTAGGAAGTTGTATGATATGTAATTAGTTAGATTTTTAATGAAGATTTAAGTGGACTGCATTTTGACTATACAGTGGTGCCTCGCTTAGCGAGGTTAATCCATTCCGGATTAACCCTCGCTCAGCGAATCCATCGTTAAGTGAAACAAAAAAGCCCATAAGAACGTATTAAAACTGATTTAATATGTTCCTATGGACTTAAAACTCACCATTCTGCGAGTTTCCTCCATTGCGGCGGCCATTTTGGATGCCTCGTTAGCGAGGCAAAAGAGTGGTCGCCATTTTGTTTTAGCGGCGGCCATTTTGGAACCGCCGATCAGCTGTTTGCTATGCTTTGATCGCGTCCGCGCGATCATCGCATAGCGAAAAAAGCCCATAGGGGCCATCACTGGAGCGTTCGCTATGCGAGGCACCACTGTACATTGATTTCACTGTATGGATTCATATATATCTTGCTGATATACTACAAAGCTATTCTATACACTATTTTGCTGTTACTGTAATAGAAGGCTTCGTCTCTTTGATTGAATGGCTATCCATCCGTGCTTCACAGATCACAATTTCACTGATCAGCTTTAAAATGGAAGGCCTAGTCCTGGGAAAAGTGCATGCCTCAGCCTGGAACGTTTAACTCAAATTTACACAGATTTGTTCTATATCTAATATTGTTCCAAAGGATTTGCCAACCATTTGGAGAAGATTTTCCAGAGTTCTCAGGTACATACTGTGCAGCAACGAAAACTGGTTATCCTTATTTTTAAAAAGAAAAGCACTTGTGCAAAGGCAAAACTACCCTCAATTCAGCCTTAAAGAACTAAGTAACTCTCACCATGCAAGCAGACTAGATAGAAAACTGAGTTCAACACCTCAAGCAATTTTTGAAGAAATTGTGAGAACAAGAACTCACATGAAACAACACAAGACTTTGATTCACTTCTGTTTCATTGACATTACAGATTTCCTTTTGTTTACATTAACAATACAAAATTACCATATTTGCCGGTGTATAAGGCGACTGGGAGTATGGCTGCATCATTGGGAGAGTTCCTTTGCCCCTTTTGGTTCCTTTCGGAGGCGGCAGCCATTTTGGAGAGGCAGCAGCCATGTGGTCGCATCTCAAAATGACTGCCGCCTCTCTGCTGTTCCGACAGTCAGCTGTTCGGCGCTAGAGTCAGGCTGTTCCCAGGCTAGGAGCGGGGCTCTACTGGGTCTTACTACCAGGTAAATGACTTCGCTGGGAGAGAGGGAGGGTTTGCTAGACATGAACCCGGCGTACCCCCCCCCACTTGGAGGCATGTTTTTCAGGGCCAAAAAGTCGTCTTGTACGCCGGCAAATACGGTAAGTGAATTTGAGCCCCTACTGCCAGAAATATGAAAAAAGAGAGGCAACAAAAATATACTAACCAATCTATGGTGGGAGACATTTCCCTCAGCCATGACCATGTTGCTCCCCCAGTTCATGAGGTGAGTGGAAAGTCAACTATGCCATGCCATTAAGAATGACAAAAAATATGCACAACCTCCTCTTAGTCTTTGAAACAGGCACAGAACTATTCTCAACTTCCTGCTGCACAATGACAAAGCCAAGAAGAGTCCAATACTGGAAGAAAAGCAAAGTTTGGTAACCATGATATGTGTCTGGCTACCAAGTCTAGTCAACATTTGTCAGAATCTAAGTAGGAGCCAATAATCATCAACTGGTGGTGCAACAAATCAAGAGACTAATGTTAACATATTTTACATTTTTCCTTACAAAAGGGCTATGTGTTCAGCAGAATTTAATTTTTTTTTCTTAAAAGCAGAAATGTTCATAAATTCACAGCTAAAACAGGAAAGAGCAAGTGTAAAAGAAATATCAGCAAGTAAGACAGAACAGGCAGAGCAGGGGAGAGATAGAAGCAAAATTAACAATAACTTTAAAAGAAAGAACTGGTTAAAATAGTTAAGTAGGGGAAAGAGAAAGTGCTGATCATGCTGGCAGACACAGAAAATTTGTCTAACAGTGGCATTCTGAAGTATACATATACTTACTGACCCAATTATGAGAAGAGCCACACAAACCAGAAGGAATCCTAGTGTGTACTTGCACGCCGTCTGAACCTGCTATAAATATAAAAATAAGAAGTAAATATAAGAAGTTGATACATGCTTACTGCTAATTCAACATATAGAGCATGACTTGGCTCTCCCCCACTACTAACATGTATACATGCGATTTTCATATTTCTTGGATTCAGCCCCCAAAATTTTCAAGAATTTCATCAACTAGAATTTTGGGGCCTTTAATCCAAATATTTATGTCCCCACAGGTGTTCTCAAGTACTTATAGCTGGTTAATTAAGGCTTTAGCAGTCACTTTCATCCTGAGCAGAGGAAAGAGGAAATGGGTGGGGGGTAAGACCCTTGGGACCTGTAAGGAATTAGGGGTCTGGTATTTTTTTTTCCAACAAAAGCTACTGACTCCTTATTCCTTGCAACTCAAAAAGAATTTAGCTCTGTTCAATTCTTTCCTCTGTCTTCTCTACAAGACAAAAACCCAACCAGAATTCAGGGGCTTGAAGTCAAAGAAACATGAAAAATGTGTTATGTGTCATCAAATTGAATCCAATGTACAAACTGTAATAGGATTTTCAAAATAAGCAATGCCACACAGTGTGTTTTCATGGCTGTGTGGCCATTCAAATGCCCTAACTTTTAGTCCATTGTTCCATCCACTATATCATACCAGTATTCAATACTAATATAATCAGATTAAAGTAGAATTTAATTCAACACACAGACAAAAACAGAGCAAGCCATATCAGAACATGCTGGGGCTGAAAAAAATCACCAAAAAAGAAACACAAACACACAACACAGCAAGCCCCATTGGAACGTGCTGGGGCAGAAAAAGAAAATCTCAAAAAAGAAACCTTGTACAGCATCACCCACAGACAAAATTCAGAATACAAAATTGTTTTGGGCAGGGTCACTGAATGAATCTATACAACCGCCATAGCATGCCATCAAGGTGTGCAAGGTATCTTATGTCACTGGGAGTGTCAGAATATATTTAATACTTCCACTAGCACTGAAAAACAAAGACAATCAGAACTATTTATTCACTCTATATTCAGCCAAGTGACATTAAGTATTATTAGAAAGCATCTTACTGCACATGTGTTGCCATCATCTTCACCTTTCTCCTCATAGTAGAAGTAGACAAAAGGTATCCAGAGGAATACACAGAATAATATGATGGAATATAGTGCTATAGTGGAAGAAAAAATAAAGTTACATTTCTGGATTTTTAAAAAAACTAAATTAGCAGTTCATGCTGTTAATACAATACTATTCTATTCTGTGACAGTAGAATATCAGCAAAAAATTCTAAATATTTATTGAAGTAGGAGCATCTAGATTCAACCTGCAAGCTTCAAAAGCATATAAATTACTGATATAGAGCATCAACAGTCATGCTGCTTTGCAAAACAGCAAAATTCCTGTTCTGGGGAGTTTATGGCTTAAAGACCTGTAGGCTGCTCAGTTTTTACTAAATGCCTGCAAATTACAGAAAAGCTCACTTGCATCATAAAGTAGAATTATATCACTGGCACACATACTGCTGCTGGGATTTTTTGGGAGCTGGCTACTGGAAGGCAAGTTTTCTTCATGGATTTTGCCACTGGCACAAAGTACAGTGGTGCCCCGCATAGCGACGATAATCCGTTCCGGAAAAATCGTCGCTATACGGGGCAAAAAAGCCCATAGAAACGCATTAAAACGTGATTAATGCGTTCCTATGAGCTTCAAACTCACCGTTCAGCGAAGATCCTCCATAGTGCGGCCATTTTCGCTGTTCGGTAAGGGAGGAATCCGTCCCAGAAACAGCAGGCGGCCATTTTGAAACCACCAGTCAGCTGTTATAAAAGCATTGCTATGATCGGAACTGATCATAGCAAAGCGAAGTTCCACTGCCAGCCAGCCCCGGACGACGCCCGGCCTCCTTGCCAGGGCTGTCCTGGTGCACAGACGGGTGGGCCGGAGGGTCTTTCTCTGGTGAGCGAGGGCTCGGAGGAAGGCAGCCGCCCGGGTGGGAAGGGGCACGCCGGTCACCCACTGCTCGCCAGCCAGTCAGCTAGCCCGGGAGACACCCGGCTAAGGCCGGCGAGTGAGGGCTTGGAGGGAGGCAGCCGCCCGGGGTGGGGAAACATATCTGCTCCGAGTTCTCTCTGTTCATCATAGGGCTGGGAGTCTCAGCTGCATCATGTTGGGCACAAAATAGGAGCAACTTGGTCTAGCAGAGACAAGCTATAGGAACAGCTCTATCCTGCCCCAGAGCTGTGTTACTCAGTTTGAACATGAACAACATAGAACCTGGTAGCACGTTAAACACTAGCAGACTTTAATTGGCAGAAGCTTTCATAGATGTGTCTTAGGAAGATACTGATTTTTTCTTTCAAAAAAAATGTTTTAATGGGAGGAAAATTACAGACTAGAAGGAACTAAGAAGTCAGGCTAGATTACTGTAACACACTCTACACAGGGCTGCCTCTGGATGTCATCAGGAAACTTCAGAGGGGCCAAAACGTGGCAGCCAGATCGCTAAGTAGGGCTGGTTACAGGAATCTCCATTTATGAACCTGCTCAGGTGTTGCTACGAGCAGGAGAGGCCTTTCTCTTGGTTCCACCACTCTCACAGGCATGTTTAGTAGGGACAAGGGACAGAGCCTTCTCTACTGCTGCACCCAGACTCTGGAACTCCCACGGGAGGCTGGAACAGCTGACGGGCAGGCTTTTGGGCTGCTCCGAAGAAGCGCTTCCATGCAAGCAGCCCAAAGGCCCGCACATGAGCTGTCCCAAAAGGCGAGCCTTTGGGCTGCTCCCCGGGAAGCGCTTCGCTGCCAGCAGCCCAAAGGCTCGCCTTTTGGAACAGCTGACCAGCAGGGCCTTTGCTATGATTGTGGGGGAGTGCTCCCCCACGATCATCGCAAAGCGAAAATTCCCCATAGGGGCCATCGCAAAACGATCGCTCTTGCGATGGCAAAAAGGCCATCGCAAAGCAATTTCATCGCTAAACGGAGCGATCGTTATGCAAGGCACCACTGTAATGCTTATGGAAGAAGCATATCTCTGCATTATAACCCTGACAGCCCTTTCTGCCCAGTGGATACTCAATAATATACAGTACTGGCTGCTGGAAGTAATGAGAAATGATTGAATGCAGCACTTTCCAAGGAGGTAGCTGTGCTCGTCTCTCTCAACACACTGGTGCAAAAATAAAAAAAAGAAAGAAAGAAAAAAGAAAAAAAGAGAGGAAGAAATAAAAGAAACAAAAGGTGAGGGAGAGAGAGAGAAAAGGCAAACTATTATGGCACAAATTTGTTTCAATACACATTTTTGTTAATCAAAACTGACTTATCTAATATATTTATCTCCATGGTGGTGAAAGTTATGTCCAAGTGAGAATACAGATAATACACAAATTGGCAATGCTTTGTTGACATGAGTATGCTTCCTCAAGGCTCCAGGGGTCTCCTGGCTCAGCTCCTCTGCGTGAAGCTGCTGGCATTTCTAATAGTCAGATTAATTAACCACTGCCCAATATTGGACATTACAATTACCTACTATGAAACTTTAAAAAAACATATTACTTTCTTTTACTCTTTGTATTTCTTTCAAACAATATTAAGAACTGCTGGATAGCTCAGTGATTTAGGCATCTGGCTGTGGAGCCAGAGGTTGGGAGTTTAATTCCCCACTGTCACTGTGTTTTCTTGACACGGTCTCAGTTATCTATAGGTTCCCTTACAGCTCTACAGTTCTAAGATGATGATGAAAATTCTACTATATGTTTCTGTGATAACTTTTTATACATACTTTGCTTTGTATCTAATTTCTATTGCTAAAGATTTCTCATTTTCCCTGTTTCAACTGAAGACTCAGTAATAGATATATAGTAATTGTTGGTATCAGGAAAGGGGTTTCCGTATACAAATTTAGTGAAGTCTTAAAAAATAATTCAACGTTGAAAATTAGAGGAGCAGCTTGCTAAAGTTCAAGTTCCGTATCAGCATAAAAACAGTTTTGATTGAAATGACATTAACATAAATACAGGATGCACAGAAATGTTTGAAATTTTACTATGAGCAAGTCACTGCTGTACATCTTCACGTAAAACACAGAATAATTTTTTAGGTTGCAGCTTTTCTCTTTTCTTTATACTGGCGCTTTCACCTTCCTTGTATGTGGTTTTCTCTCAAGACTGAGATGAGCATGTTCATTCTCTGAATATTCCTAGGAAAGGCTTCTTTCTTCCTCTGCTTCAGCTTTCTTTCCTGAAGCTTTGAGGCATGGGTATTCTTACAAGAGAAACTATTTCTCTTTGAAGTTTCCTCTTCACTTGTGCTGTTAAATTTTATGTCTTTATTACTTTTTTTCGTTTTGTTCAACTTAAAAATTATTTTTGAACATTTCTCAAACATTTGCTTCCAGAATCCTTTAAGTACTTTATCAACTGAAACTATCTAAGAATCCTGAAATCCCCCCTGGAGTGGTAGATAGGAATTTCTCTTACAAGTTGGAATATAGAATGCATAAGATAGTTGGGGAAGGTACTACACCAAATTAAAGATTAACAATTAAAACACTCTGGAGAAATGAGTCTTCCTTGGGATCCTTGGGTACAGGCCAAGCTAGAAACCACTTATCCCCTTCAAGAATACGAGCAGTGATTCCTTAATTGCCAGCTAGAAGTGACTCGGTGTTACACCACTTGCCTTTTACATGCATAATTAAGTAACAGAATTTCAACCTCTGTCTTATATATTCCATATGTATGGTCTATACATACTTTTTTTTAACTCTCAGCATTCTTGTAAAACATTCCCATGTCTTGTGTCTTTAGAACAGTTCTAGAGAGGAAAATCTGTAATTATTTGGTATTTCGCTTATGTCCAAGTATTTAATAGTAATTGGTTTTTTTAATATATTCTTTTTTAAATTTCAAAATTAATTCTTTTGTCTCTGGTTCCATGATAGGCCCATTGTAATTGCTTTACTTGCTACACTTGCACTATTGCTATTATTTTTAACACACTGTATTTTATATACCCTTGTCTCTCACTTGAATAAATTTTGAACTGATGTTATTGTTGGAGTAGCCGTAGCTAAAAACACTCCCCAAAGCTTGCAGGCATAAAGTAATAAGGAAACCTGATAAAACCCTGTTTCTGACCACTCCAGTAAAGATGGTAACTAAAAAAACAACCTTTTTGTGCGCAAATGATAAAATACTTGATTGCACCTTTCTTATGCTGAAATTGTTTTAGAAACCTAACTAGTAGGAATGCAGTGTTAATAAAGACTGTTAATTAAGAGAAGCTCTTCAACAATAGCAGAAAACAGTTCTTTATTCTATGTATCAATATTATACAGCAGTGCCTCTACAGCCAACAGTGAATACATCACTCCAACAAAAGCACTGTGAGTTTACTCTCCCAAACAATGATATGTACAAATTAAAAATTCAAAAGAATATCTTCCTCCTATCTTCTTATTGAAAAATTACAAGTTTCCAAAGAAGGCTTCAGTCTGATCTTTGTCAAGTCTGAAATCTTTCCCAGCTGTGTGTTTAATAAAGATAAACACTGGGGAGCAAACAAGAAATCCAGATATAATCATGCAGCAATTTAAACACAAAACAAAACATGTCTTGTTCCACAGACATTTTGACTTATCTCCACCAAAGGTTCTTTGGAAGTGATACTTGCTTTACATAAAACACACTGCTGCCAAAATGATTTCAGAACAAAATTGCGGTAGTTTGATTAATAAAACTGGGCTACTGTTAATCAAACAGCAGACACTGTAGTTAACAATTACAATATTATCTATTTTTTATTGATTAAAATTTAATACTTACAGACATTCCAAGCCAAGCAAGATTTTCCCATCCTAAAAATTCCCCATGAATTCAGTTCAATAAAGGAACCAGTTTCACATATGGAAAGGAATACATGAGTGTATCTAGCCTTTCAACTGAAATGTCTAAGCAAGATCAATATGCACACATGATCATATACAGATCTCTGGATTAGAGTACATCCTTAGCATTTGCTACAACAGCTGCTCCAGTTCTCTTGCATTATGCCCACCTATGATGTATACATCAGAAATAATTTGTTTTCATTTATTTAGCATAAAAAGTAATGGAATCCTACAGCATTCCTATCTGTGTTATTACAGTTACTCTGACTAATATAATACTGTACAATCAGCCACACTCAGCTGCATAGTATTACATGACTTCCCAAATACATAACTTGGCATAGTTTGCTTTCTTTAGCAGAAGTGTATGAAGACTTGTGAAATGTCAACAAGTTTTAAAATATTGGATAGGTGTTTAGACTATAAGAACACACAGGGTGGTGAACCCTGAGATTACAGCTACAATAAAGATTAAGAACATTAGTCTAAGAATTACAAATCTCCTAGGATATACACTATATGAAACTGCGATTAGAAATAGAAACATTGATATTAAGTTTAAAATGCATCACAAAATCCTTTAGAATCTTTTGATGCTTTGGATTTTTGAGAACTTGATTCTGAGAGTTTCAATCAGCAAGATGCTTCTCATTAAGAAAATAATCACATCAAGGCTGTCACATCAATGCAGATCTTCTACATACAATCTTAACAAGGATGATATCAGGCAACGTTTAAATCTGTAACTAGCATTCTACCAAAAGTTCTGCTTTCTGTAGGCTACACTGTGAGTCCAAATTTGGGTTGGCAAAAGATCAGGATAAAGAGGATAGACATTTTCACAGACAGGTTAATGTAAATCCAAGTTGTCACAGGGCTGACTCACCTCCTGGTCCCAGGAAACAAAGAACACAAGCTATGTTCGTCACTAAAACAACTGTTTTTACAGTATGTCTTTGACTTCTACTAATACAGAGTCCATATTCCAACACTGTAATGTCTAATAATACAGAGTCCATATTCCAACACTGTAAAAAAGCGCAAAATGGAAACTCCAAATGGAGAGGGATTTTTCTTAGCAGAGAGAGTAAGATTAGCAGGCTGCCCTTCCAGCTTCAAAGTTTTCTCACATACAAGACAGCTATGAGAAGTATCTCTCAAACATTCTCCTAGAGACTACTTGTCAAATACAGTGGTGCCTCGCTTAGCGATTGCTTTGTTTAACGATGTATTCGCTTAGCGATGAGGTTTTAGGAGCGATCCTGCGCTCTGTTTAGCGATGTTTCCAATGGGGGAATTTCGCATACTGATGTTCGGGACCATGCCTCGCATAGCGATAACAGTTTGGGTTCCCCTGTTTTGCTAAGCTATTGCAAACTTGATTTGGCTTTGTTCTGAGTCTTCGTTAATTTTTGGTGAATTTTTCCCCCATTGGAATGCATTGATAGCTGTCAAACCTACAGTTCAATGCATTTCAACGGGGGGAGAAAAAATTCACCAAAAATTAACGAAGACTCAGAACAAAGCCAAATTAGGTTTGCAAAGGTTTTACAGGGTGCACTAACGATTCCAAGCATTTTAAACAGTTTTTGAACATTTTAAGACACTTTAAAAATAGTGAAACCGGACCTGTCAAAACCATTTAAATGCATTGAAACCTATTCAATGCATTCCAATGGGGGAACCGTGTTTCACTTAGCGATGTTTCCTAGGCGATTTTCGCTTAAGGACGGTAATCCGTTCCCATTGGAACGGATTATCTAGTTTTCAATGCATTCCTGTGGGAAATGGTGTTTTGCTTAGCGATGTTTTCCCATAGCGATGTTTTTTTTTAACCAATTAACATTGCTCAGCGAGGCACCACTGTATCCTTCAAAACGCATGTATGCCAGTACCAAACTGTGTGCTCAAAACAGACCGATTCATTTCATCTCCAGTGAAACCCATGTAGGCTTTAAACACAATGAAGTCAATATATTAAGAGTCTCAAATGCTGAACAGTATGCAGACGAGGCCTTCAGATTCATCTAAAGATCAGGACTCTGTTTGAAAGTTACAGAGGTATAGGGAGACGCTATCCACAACGGCCAGTCTCTAATATGCTCAAGTAGAAATAAACTAACCATCTGGAGGTGTTCTTAAAAACTTAGACATTAGCTTTCATTTCTTTTTCCCCCATATCAGGAATTATTTGCTTTAGTTTAAACACAGTAGTGTCATGTATATGGTAGCCATTTTGTTAAGTTATGGTTCAATGCAGAAAGCACAACTAAGGCCTACTTCATTATCTTTCCTTATTCAGAATAGCAAGAAAAGGATGTTTTTAATTTATACTCAAATCACTATCGCCATCTGAAGGCTGATACAAGTAATAGCATCAAACCATGCCTAAAAATTCTTTGGAACTGTTTCCTGAACACAAGGACAATTCACTCTATGTTTAAAAGGAAAGTAAGTGGCTTCCACAAACAGTTTCACATAGTCACTAGAAACTTAATTTTCTCATCTTTACATGCCATTTTTCAGTAGTTAAAAAACATTGAAATTGTGCACTTTTAAAATCTTAAAAGAATAAAAGAATGTTGCTGAGAATTTTTACTTTTGTAGTCTAATCGGCATATGATATATAACATTCCATCTGCAGGTCATTTTTTTGTCTGAAGACACAAAAGCTCATACAAGCATAAACTCGTGAAGATAACTCATTAAATCCTCTTGTTAATGCCTGCCTTTGCTGTGTCTGGATTCCTCAGAATGATTTACGACTTGGGCTGCCTGAGGTCCTATACTGCTGCCTGCCTCCTGTGATTTAAGATGACACCAAACTTTTCATTTGTACTCAGAGGCACTGATGACCACTGTTTTGGGAGCTAGACTGACTTTAAGGACAGAACCTAGTACTTTCTGCCCCTGAACATAACAGGAAGCTACTTGTTCCCCTATGCATCTTTGCAAGTCTAAAGGAATCCTCCAGAACTACAAAGCTGCAGTAGGGTGCTTTTCAGAGGGCACAAGGAAAGAGTGCAGGAGCAACATGGAGGTAAGAAGAATGCTCTACATCAAGTCATTTACAGCTCCCAGTCCCATAATACAGCCTAAGGATTTCCATCGAATTGGAGTGCATTTTCTCCCCTGAAAGTCTGATTCCTACAACTGATCTATTGTTATCTACAAATTCATCTTGCCATTTTTCAGGCATTGCTACTTCAATGAATTTATGAACCTGATAAAATATGCCATCACTGCTGCACAAAGATGAACAACACTATTCTCTCCGAACAGCGTTTTTATTATCTGGAATCTTTGGGTTAGATCTAAAAATCTCCAACTCTGGAGCACAGAAAAAGCAAAGTGTATTTTAAAACAGTGTCCAAAATCCTGTTGCTTAATGTAGAAAATCACACTAGAGTAAACTCACTCTAACTGCAACTTATTATAGCACAGCAGACAGGATTGGCCAATTTGAATCAATGGAACTTGTGAAGGAGATGATGCACAAAGTTCCCATTAATTCAATAGGCCTACTCTACTGAGAGCTTATACACTAAGCCAGTGGTTCTTAACCTTGGGTTACTCAGGAATTTTGGACTGCAACTCCCAGAAGCCTTCACCACCAACTGTGCTGGCTGGGGTTTCTGGGAGTTGCAGTTCAAAAACATCCGAGTAACAAAGGTTAAGAACCTAGGCACTAAGCAATAGGAATCTAGCCTGTAAGTAGTTTTAGGCACTGTGAACCATTTTAATACTCACTGTAATATGCATATAGTACAGTATCTTCAATTTGCATTGTAACATTTGCATCAGCCCAGTCCTAAATATATTGACAAAGAAAAAGAAAAAAGGAGAGAAAAGTTAGACTAAATTGGTATTTGTGTACCTGTATCTATAGAACATGTAAAGCACTCTAAGAAACTTTTTTTGGTTAAAAGTAAATTCACATTTAAGGCAATCACTGCTCTGTGACAGGTAGGCAGTTCTTTGAAAAATGCCCAAATGTCTCTACTTCTCATATTTCTATTTACCAGAATGGAGAAACCTGACTAGTCACAAATATAGTAGTACTGGTGTCTAATAAAAACAATCTGTGGACATGATGAGTGGTAATAAGCTACTCTGAATCAGTGCCCTTCAAGCAGTAGTAAATACATTCTTTGTCTGTTCCTGTCCTTCCAACAACTTCTTCCTTGTACTCAGAAACAAAGGTACTGAAGTCAAGGAAAAATGGTAAATATACTAAATACTGAGACATTTAATGATGTCTCAGTAACATATAAACAAGTTGGTATTGATTTCTGCTAGGGAACCTTCTGTAATGAGTGAGAGGACTGCCTGTGTTGGAGGCTGAACTGCTTAGGAATAAGAAAAGAAAGCTTATGTTCTAGATGTGCAAACATGAAAGATGGCTCCAAGAAGTAGCTTCTGGCCGCTAGAGTTTTGTTTTGGTTTAAATTTTAAGATAGGTCAGGGCACTAAAAAGTAGTGAAGCAATGTTTATATTAGAAAGTTTAAAAGAGCCACTCAAACCAATACACATCATCATACAAAAACACCATTTTAGCTATGGTACTATAAACAACAAGTAGTTGCATGAGAACAGATCAGCTAGAAAATCTACTGGCTCACTATAGAGGAAGGCAGGATTAAACAAAGACACTTATTTTAAGGTAATAATCAAATTTTATTTATTTATTTATTAGATTTATATACTGCCCATCTAGAACATGTCTACTCTGGGTGGTTTACATATAACATAAAAAATAAACTAAGGTAAAATCCAAGTTAATCACAGAGTCCAAGATGGGGAGAGGAGGAGGAGGAGATGAAGAAAAAAAAGAAGGAGGGGGGAGAAAAGGGAGATAGTCTAGATCAGTGGTTCTTAACCTTTGTTACTCAGGTGTTTTTGGACTGCAACTCCCAGAAGCCTTCACCATCAGCTCTGCTGGCTGGGGTTTCTGGGAGTTGCAGTTCAAAAACACCTGAGTAACAAAGGTTAAGAACCACTGGTCTACGTAATAGCTGTAGGGAAGGCCTGCCTGTATAGCCGTGTCCTCAGGTTAGTCTTGAAAGCCCTCAGCAAGGGAGCAAGACAGATCTCCACAGGTAGGTTGTTCCATAGGTCAGGGGCCACTGCCGAGAAGGCCCGATTTTTAGTTTTTCCCCGTTGGCCCTAGGCGTTAGACCCCTCAGCTGTCCGACCTGACTGGAATGGGTGATATGGGTAGAATAAGCAGAAGAAGGTGCTTTGCCGAGTATCGGCCTAGGCCATTAAGGGCTTCGTATGTAATGGCTAGCACCTTGAAATCAATGTGGAAGCAGATAGGTAGCCAGTGTAATCCAGTTGCACATTTATTCCACTGGCAAGAACATTGTATAGCAAATTACCATTAATTAACCAATCCCTTGCTGGACGTCTGGCTGTATACCAAGTCACCCAGTTAGCATGCAACGAAGAATCCAAATGATGATTTGTCAACTAGCAGCAATTTGAGATTGCAAGTTACAGCAGCTCCATTTTGCCCTCATAATTACACATTTTGGATTTTGGTCGGACTAGTTGGTTATACATAGAGAGAAAGAGGAATGTACAGCTAACAAGCCTAATGAAAAGACAAAAAGCCTTTCAAGAAGTCTGCAAAAGCAAAAGTATGCGTCATTGCTCAGTATGAACACAATTAACAGCCACAGGTTTCTTCAACAAGATTAAGTAGACCACAACTC